GCTTTTCAAAGTTCTACGTGTGAGGCACCTACTATATGTTTTAAAGTAAATTTATTACAGTGGTTCATAAAAAAGACTACTCTCGATCGCATGCCAATTATCCGGTGATGTGCAGGGCAACTCTCCCAGCTTCAGTTTGAAAATGTTCAAAAGTTGGTCATCTTCACATAGTGGCCCCTCCATACCGATCGAGATAAAGTTAGGGGTAAGAAAGCAAAATGCATAGGACCCCTACTTGCCCGGTCAAAAAAATAAAATAAAAAAGTTTTCAAGGTTGATACAACCCCAAAGACAAAAAAAAATCTCAAAATGAGAATAAAAATTTGGGTGGAAGGTGTGAAAGATAATTGTAGATAACGATTACTCTTCTTACCTATATTGATCGTCTACCTTGTGCCTATCTCTTTCACTTGCGAACATTTTGTTGAAGTTGTTTTGATTCAGTTGAACGCTATATGGATGACCATCTAATAGTATGGAACCATGCATGTATTGTAAGACTAATTTGGTTATTGCTAATGGATCCTGGTACATTGTCGATAGCATGGATGAAGGTGTATCGATGCAAAGCTAACAACATTTTGGATATGAAAACCTCCTCCAACAGCTCATGGATATGAAAAAGGATCCTACAATTGTGTCCTTTATAGCAGAGACAAGGAAAGGTTGGGCTCTGGGATGGTAAACCCATGGGGAATGACTCTTTAGGTAAGTTGTGGCCACACATTAAGACATTGTACATAATGTGGTTGCGTAAGAGAAGTTGTGGTTATAAACAACACTATAGTAGCACATAATAGACTATGAAGGCATTGCATGATTAAAGCATCATAAAATAATTTGTTCGAATAAAATAAGCATCACATGACATAGGCATCCAATTATATAAGCATAACGTGGCTAAGGCATCTAATGGTATAAGCATCGAAATACATAGACAAACAATGACTAAATAGAAAGAAGATTATATAAGCATCAATAGAATTCACAACCTTGACAATGCCTTTTGAACTAACAATAGATAGAAGAGAAAGATGGTACCACCATCGATGATGAATGCATATCCTTAGATGCACCCTCCTATGAATGTTAATTCGGCCTCCCTCAAGCCGAGTGGTTCCTTGCTTGAATTCTACATAATGATTTTAGTGAATGTTTGCAGCCTCCTGAATCCCTTAACCTGACAATCCATTTGTAGCGAAAGGAAGAGGAGTTTATGGGTCTTTTCCTTCTAAAATGAGGCAAAGGCTTCTTGATACCACTGGGACTCGGATTGCTTGACTTGAGGACGAAGCAATCATATTCTCTAATATTCCTTGGGCTTGGGCCAGTGGCAGTCGAGCAGCGGTTGACGCGCCATGGTTTTCTTTCTCATTTGAATTTATTGGCTCACAAGTAACTCCTCCCGTGAAATCCATCACGACTTGATGGATTCGGCTCAGCGACGCTCTGCACCATCACAAGGTCGCGATGGTTTCTTCCTGAGTTTGGGCTGAAATTTCTTCGGTGAACTTTTATGACGACTTCATGCAGGCTTCCCCTCAATTCGACCTCATTTAATAGACAAATCATTTTGATCTTCTAGTAATTTTCCCTCTTGATCCTCCACTTTGATCTAATTGCTTATCCAAGTCATCATATAATGTGTTTGACCTTGAAAAAGACATAAGAATACCAAATACAAAAAAAAAACAATATAAAACCACATCATAGGTCTATTATAAGAACATTGATCACATAGTTATGATTTCTGCCTAAATATTGTAAAATATACTAAAGATGCATTGATAGAAGGAAAATGTATCAAATATGAGAGTGACAAACACTATAATTTGAGTGTCATCGAAAAACAAGAGAGCATCTCTTTTTCCAGTACCCCTTCTCCTGCTTCATGTGGAGTTGCTCTCCCATGGTTTCATCAGTCCTCTTGGCAGGAAACACTTGCAACACCATATGACATAGTTCCATAATGCATAAGGAAGGGTGAATTGATTGTTATGGTGTATGTTTCTATTTCACATTTGGTATGAGCGATGATTAAAGGTTTAATTGTGAGCAGGCAAATTCAGTAGAGGAAGTGATAAAAAAGCATCTGCAGGGACCTAAGCTGGATTGTTGGAATTCAAAGGGATTAGAAGCAGACCTCCTGTAATTTGGTTTATTAAATATAGGATAGGAACTGATTAGTAAATTCGGTTCTGATTACTTGTAGGTCGAGTATTCTAACATAATTTCCAGAGGCAAAGCCACACTCGTTGTATTGGACGCATTTGAAGTGATCTTTGTACTTCTTTGATAATGGAATGCATCTAATTCAACAACAACAACAACAACAACAAAAACAAAAAAAGATACGTCACATTATGCTAACTTTCTACCATTTTAGTAGTTTCAAAAACTAGAAAACTAGTAAGAACGGAAAATCACAATTCAACATTTTGATGGAGTCTAGGAACCCCTACTTTTGACTACGAAGTTGACATTCTTAAAACTAAAAGTGCGATAAAAAAAACATGTAATGTCTGAATTAAATGTTTAATGGGTTTGTTGATTATTCATAAGTTAGAGGTTTGTTGTCTTTGAAAGAATTCGCTCGTAACGATGAACAACAAAGACTTATCTCGAGATTAAAAATTTATTTGTCATCTTTATTATAGCTAAATTTAAGGAAACTAACACTTTAGTATGAGGATTTTAACAATGACTTATTAGAAACAAATCAAATAGGGTTTCTAAGTTCCACCCTAATTTTACTACAATCGCTCTAATTTAAACGTTCAAATTATCTTTTTATCCTTCTTTCATTTTTATAGTGAGTAGGTATTTTTTGTAATAAACCCAAAAAAAAACTGGACCCACGCTCCATCACCATTACCGATGTTACCCGTTACCGGTCGTGACCACTAATTTCCACTGTTGGCCACCTATCGTCGCTAATTTCCACTGTCGACCTAATAGACCGATAATTACACATATTTTCACCCCTATTCTTGAGCCGTTTGAGAGGTTGACTCTCGGGTTTTAAGCCGATTTTCGCGAGGTTGTGTGTTTATGTCGTATTTCAGGACCCGGCGTTGGAATCGAGGCGAAGGAACGAGATTCGGGTCTTCAGGAGCAAGTGAGGCTTGAAGTGTGCTGGAGGAAGAAAATACCCGGCCATGACCAAAAATACCCGGCCGGGTATTATTCTGAGGAGGCCGGGTATTTGCTGTTTTGGCGTCTGAGAATCAGAGAGGGTCCCGGGCTGGAGGCACAAAATCCCCGACCGGGGATTATTGGATGAGACCGGGTATTTTTCCCCTGGGCAAAACGTGCGTTTCAACTATACCCGGTCGAGACCCAAAATACCCGACCGGGTATTTCGACCGGGTATCGCGACAGGCAGCTGTTTTAAGGGAAAAGAAGGCTGAAAATCAAGGGGTTCGAGTTTTAGAGAGAGAGATCGATTCCTAGAGTGAGAAAGTGACGAACAAGAGTTCCCAAGTGCCCTAGCTTGATCTTCATCACCATTGGAGCTTGGCTTGAGCTTGGAGAAGTGTCGATCAACGTCCAGGAGCAGGAATCCATCCTTCACAGTATGAATTTCGCGTCTGATTCTGCTTTTGCTTCTTTCTCCATGGAGTAGTTCTCTCATTCATCTGGGTATGGAGAACCCTAGATTTGTATGTTAGGTTTGATTGTATGAACCCAAGTACTGATTCTATGATTTGATTATATTCAATTGAGGTTTGAATGATTGAATGGCATGAATCCTGATCAAATTCCTGTTGTTTCTGCTTTAACCTAGAATGAGAATATCTGCCTAGGTTGATAGAGCATCCTTGATTGAAGGTAGGGAGTTGGTGACTTTAGTCGAGGAGCCAACTCACTATTCTGTACCGAATTCACTTCGGTAGTGGAGGTTTTGTTGTTAGGGCCTCAATCTGTTTACTCCGGTGGAGGTTAGTCGCCCGCTAGAGACTCAGATTGAGAGGGTCTGAAGACCTTTAGTCGAGACTTCAGGCTGTTTAAGAACCTTCCGCAGTATAACTATCATAGAAACTGAACTTGGTAATTGCAATCCGGCTTAACTGCAGTCTAGGGGGAACCATATCCGGGTGACCTCTCTTAACCTGAATACAACCGTTTAGTTGCTTTGCTTGTTTGTTAGTTTAGACTTGTATTAAAGTTTCATTGCTAGATAACAAGAATCCACCGAGTAGTCATCAAATCTAGGACCCGGGTTGACATTAAAACCCAAACCCGCTATACTACGCTTTAGGAAGTGGTTTCACTTGGCCAATTCCTGGAGTGACAGTAGAAGTGAGTCACGACCACCTTCATCAATGTCATCGTCATGGTCATCGTAGCAGGGAGAAATGACACAAAGCACTTGGGACGGACGATAACAAGGACCGTGGGGAGAAGGGATAGGCGCAATTGGGAGTTGATTCTGATGATGGGGAAAAAGGAATGACGCGGATAGGAGTTGATTTTGAGGGCAGGGTGATTCATATGACATAAATAGCGGGGAGGCATTGATTCTAATGGCGGGGTTTTTATTCAGACTGGAACTCTAGTGGGGAGAAGAGAGGAGGTGATGACAATGAACCAGCGTTTGGTTGCAGCAACTCAACTTGGTGAATGGTAGTCAGATTGGTGGATAGTGCAGCTATAGTGTTGGAAAGCAAGTTTGTTATGGTCAACAAAAATTAATAAATGACAGTTGTTTGTTTTATTTAATTTTTTTATTTGATGAAAAGTAATTTGATACTTTATATTTTAAGATAAGACGATAATAGAAATTTTAGGGCATTTTTAGCGATTGAGAATCCAAAACACATTAGCAATCCAAAGTCACCCACAAAGAAATTTCCTCCAACAATTCTCCCTAACGACTACCTGCCTCACACCCTCATTCTTCTGAATCAAAAGCTAAGAATGTCTAAAAAAACAAAAAAACGACAGAGAGAAAAAAAAACTAACCCCATAGAAAACCATGAGATATACCAAACGAAAACTTACATCTCTAGATGTTGTTATTGTTGTTGGCCGCCTGGTTGATCTCTCTCAACCTAGGCACCAATCCAGAGCTCCCCCATGGCCTTTCTCTTTAAGTCTTATTATGATGAACTAATTAAGAAATAGATAATCAAAAAGCTTCAGCCGGAGACTTGTAATTCTCGGCGGGGAGGAAAAATAAATATCCTTTTTTTTTTTTTCCTCCTTTCGCCACCGTGGTTCTCGTTTTCCGGTGCATCTTCAATATCGATGGATCCCGCCAAAATTCACACTCTCTCTTTGATTACCTATATTTCCATAATTATTTTCAATCATGTCTCCGTCGGGGACGAGACACCGACAGCATTGTTGCTGAACTGCGGGTCGGATAATTTAGGACCGGATCCTGACGGTCGAAAGTGGACATCCGATGACAAGTTCATCTCTGGGGACAACCCAAAAGCCCAGGCTCAATTCCAGGACCCAGCAATCCCTTCAGAAATTCCTTTCATGGACGCACGGATCATCCTCTCGGAATCCACCTACAAGCTCCCGATCCAACCCAATACCCGGTACGTGCTCCGGCTCTATTTTTACCCATCGGATTACCTCCGGTACAACATCTCTGCCTCCTACTTCACCGTCACGGCAGCCAAAATCACCCTCCTGAGAAACTTCAGCGCGTCAATCACGGCTCGCGCCACCACCCAAGCTTATCTGATAAAGGAATACTCACTTCCCCCCTCCAATTCCGATACGCTGGAACTCACCTTCAAACCCGAAAGCAGAGAAACCTTCGCCTTCATCAACGGCATCGAGCTGATTCCGACCCCCAATGGCATGTTCGGCACCGTGCAGATGATTGGGCTCACGAGCAGCGAAATGGATATGACGAGCGCGAGCCTAGAGACTCTGTTCAGGCTAAACGTTGGTGGTAGCCTGATCGGACCCAAAAATGACACTGCCGGAATGGGAAGAACTTGGTACAACGACATGCCTTACATTTACAGCGGATCGGTCGGAGTGGTTACTTCAGTAAAGAAAGGGCAACACGTGAAGTACGATCGTATTCCACATTACATTGCGCCTATACAAGTCTACGAAAGCGCCAGAGCCATGGGACCGGACGGCCTGGAAGTGAATACCAAGTACAACCTCACCTGGAAATTCTCGGTGGATCCCAATTTCACCTACGTCATCAGGATGCATTTCTGTGATTTCCTGATGACCCGCCCCAACCAGAGGATCTTCGACATCTACATCAACAATCAGACCGCTCAGGGAGACGACAACGCGTTGGACCCGGTCGGAACCGCCGGCGCCGGGGTTCCCTTCTACAGAGACTATGGAATCTTCGTCCGTGGTAAAGCTGCAGATATCTTGATCGAGCTCCATCCCTCCACGTTCTCCCAACCCGAGTTCTTAGACGCCATTCTCAATGGGCTAGAGATTTTCAAGATGGCCGTGAGTCGGAGCTTGGCGGGTCGGAATCCAGAACTGTCGTCGATGCTTGCCGCGGACATTGACAAGATTGAGAAGAAGAAGCAGAAAGAATTTCAATCCCACAATATGATTGTAATCGCCGGAGCAGCTGGTGGGGCCGTCGGATTCTGCTTGGTAGCTGCAATTTTGATCGTGCTGGTAAATCGGCAGAACAGAAGGAGAAACCAGAGACCTCCCTGCCCTCACGGCTCCAGCTGGCTCCCACTCCGTGGAAGCTCGATGAGTAGCAACTCCGACAGCAATCACCTCAGCTCATTGGCACAAGGACTCTGCCGACACTTCACGCTATCAGAGATGAAACGAGCGACCCAGAGCTTCCACGAATCCAACGTAATCGGGATCGGAGGGTTCGGGAAAGTGTACAAGGGTGCAATCGATGAGGGTTTGACCAAAGTAGCAATCAAACGGTCGAACCCACAATCGGAACAGGGGGTGAACGAGTTCAAAACAGAGATTGAGATGTTGTCCAAGCTTCGCCACAAACATCTAGTCTCCCTTATCGGGTTCTGTGAGGAAGAGGGGGAGATGTGCTTGGTGTATGACTACATGGCACTCGGGACATTGCGAGAGCATCTCTACGATTCAAGGAAAGGTCCAATGGGGATGCTTTCGTGGAAACAGAGGCTGGAGATTTGCATCGGAGCAGCCAGGGGGCTTCACTACCTCCACACGGGAGCTCAATACACCATCATCCACCGCGACGTGAAGACCACAAACATACTGCTTGACGACAAATGGAGCGCCAAGGTGTCCGATTTTGGCCTCTCAAAAACAGGGGCCAACATGGAGAATGGTGCGGTGAGCACGGTGGTGAAAGGCAGTTTTGGGTACTTGGATCCTGAATACTTTAGAAGGCAGCAATTGACCGAGAAATCGGATGTTTACTCGTTTGGGGTGGTTCTATTTGAGGTTTTGTGTGCTAAGCCGGCTTTGGACCCTAGCCTGCCCAAGGAGCAAGTGTGCCTCGCAGATTGGGCACTTCAATGCAAGCGAGAGGGAAGGTTGGTAGAGCTGGTTGATCCTCATATCAAGAAGGAGATCAAAGAAGAATGCATGAATAAATTCGCGGACACGGCGGAGAAGTGTTTGAATGATAGTGGATTAGAGAGGCCTGGGATGGGGGATGTCCTCTGGAACCTTGAGTTTGCGCTGCAACTGCAGCAGGAGGAAGATCAGGAAGGTGGTCGTATTTGTGAGAGAGATGATTCAAAATAAATGTATTTTTGTTCATAATAAGCTTATTATTATGGGGTAATATTATTGGAAGACAAGTGTTTTCGTTGTTGTGGCAGCTTTATTGGATTGGTTATTGACGGCCCCTACACTACACTCTCAATTGAAGGTAAAGTATAACCAACAATCGAGTGTAGCATAGTGGAAGTAAATTAATAAAATTATCGAAGCCTAGAGTCTTTATATATTGCTACTTCGCTTATGCTTGTTATTCAGTCACACAAGTTTTAATATTAAGAAACTAAACTAACCAATTACAAGTTGTGAGCTCAGTTAGGCATTGATTCCACTAGCCACTAATCGAATCAATGATTGACGATCCTCTAACTCGATTCATTCTTTATTCAAGGCTCTATTGAGTTGGTTACGTAGAAGGTCATAACCTTCTCTAAAACAACCGATCAAGAATTTTGGTATTAGACCCCCTCACTTGGGTGAGGTTCTCACACAATACAAAGCAATGACCCAACTCACACTTGTGGTATCGACCTCCTACTCCCAATATATGATGCTCTAATTGGCCTAATCAGATTTTATCTCATAGGCCAATAGCAAAATCAATTATTCTTGATCAAGGAAGAATTGAACATCAAAACATCCATAGATTGGATATAAACTCAAGAATATCAAGATATAGTACGTACGCATATAATCATTCAATCAAGCTAAACATGGGTAAGGTTCATCAAAAACTAAGTGAAAGATAACTATTCGACAGAGAGGAGAGAGAATGTATTATAAGGGTCGAGATCTTCAATCTTCATATCTAGGCTTGATCTTCTAGCTCCAATGAGGATGGGTACCTCAAAAATAGCTCCAAGAAGCCTCTCTCTCTCTCTCTCTCTCTCTCTCTCTCTCTCTCTCTCTCTCTCTCCCCTCCAGAATGCCTATTTGGTGTGTTTGGCCGCATACTCTGCTCTCCCTCTTCAAAACCTGCAGTAAAATATTTATACCCGCAGGCAATGCATGAGTCACGATCTCATGTCACGCCCGTGACATCGACAGGGAGATCTTGACGTTGACAAAAAATGATGCATTTTGACGCATCTCACGGCCAAGATCGTGACTTAACCAGTTGCCTTTGACCTGTTGTATAGCTCCTGCTTCTTGTTGAATCTTACAGACGCCTCGTCCAATGCCATGGTTTGGCTGTGACATATGCTCCTCTGATGCAATTTTCCTATTCTCACATGTCACATCCAAATGTTCTGAAACTCCTTCATGGGTCATATTTACATCATTAGTCATGAAAACGAAGCACAACCTAGCATAAAATAGTCAAAGAAATGCTAAACACCAAATCTATTGATCAAAATGTGAAGGACAAAACATGTATACTTGAGCCCGAAACAGTTATCAACCAATGGATCTACTCTACATAATGTGATCACTCAAGCCAGCCAGAAACAGTTATCAACCAATGTGATCTACTCTACAAAAGTTAAAATAGAGTTGAATTGGGTTTTACTCATTTTCTTAGTTAATATAAAGGATGGGAACATATTTAGAAGAAATTACTTGTTAATTTTCTTTCATTAGATCATTGAAGTTCATTCATGTGTGTTTAGGGTTTGAGAACATGTTTACGCATACGATAATTATTCTGATATGCATTCAAATGGTTGAAGGCGAGTGGTAAAATTGATCTGGTGCAAGTGACACGCCAAAACACAACACCAAACTGCGACCAAGTGTAATCGCAGAAAGGGACTGCAGTATAGTGGCACAAGTAATAAATATTGAATCCACGGGTCTCTAGAGTTACTATTACTCAGCTTCAGTTCATTATCTAGCAAACTAGATTAAGGATTGATTTATAAACTATTCTACTGACTACTCTACTAATTACAAGTTGGGAACTCACTTAGGTATGATTCCCCCTAGCTCCTCAATTAGGTCCAAGTTGCAATTACTTTTGGTTGGTCTACTGTTGATTAAACTGCGGAAGATCCTAAATTAGCTTGGAATCTCTTAAGATGACCAAGCCCTCTTAGACAGAATACCCGGCAGGCGACTAGCCTTCACCGGGTAGACTGCTAAGGTGATTCACACAGATCTCCACTACTGGAATGAATTCCAGTACAAAGCAGTGAATTGACTGACTCTCGCACAACCAATTCACTACTATCAATCAAGGAAGCTCTCTTAACTTAATCAGATTCTATCTATCATAGGTTAAAGCATAAATCAAGAGAATTTGATCAGGATTCAATTGACTCAATAAATCATGCCTCAACTGATTATAATCACACAATATAGCATCCAAAACTTCATACAAGAAAGATCCTAACATATGGAACCAGGGTTCCTCAAAACCTAAGTGAAGGGAAGTTACTCCATAGAGAAGAGAGAGACTGCAGAAATCTGATCTAGATCTTCAATCTTCATCTCCAAGCTTGATTCCCGAGCTACAATGGTGAAGAAATCCTCCAAAATAGCTCCAAGAATGTTCCCAATTCGGTCACTCTCTCTAGGGTTCGTCCCTTGGGTGTTTGGGAACCAAAACCCAACTCCCCCTCTCCTTTGGCTCGAAATTTGGCTTAAAACCAGAGATTCCCGACTCACACGGCCGTGTGGCTTACCCAGCTGCCCGTGTGAGTGCCAAAACGCGGAGTTTCGATTAATGGGAAACCAGGAAAGCTACACGGGCAGGGGCCACACGGCCGTGTGGCTCCCCAGGATGCCCGTGTGAGTTCTCGGTAAATCCCACACGGCCAGGTCACACGGCCGTGTGGGTTTTTAGGTGTGCCCGTGTGGCTTGCTCAGCCTCTGTTTAATGCTTCGTTTCTCCCTCGTCCGGACTCCGAATCAGTCGTCGTTTGATCCCAGACGCTCGTAGTCTCGTCCTCTTTCTTTTCATGACAAAATTCCATGATTATTTTTTCATAATATTAGGTAGAAGTCCATTATTCCTCGGGTCATGCTCGTGTTTCTTCTCCCGAATTGCCAAATGATCTCCGATTGACTTGAAACTTGCGCCTATGCTTCAATTCACATGCTAGGACCTGAAATATGACAAAGGAACACAACCTAGCGTAAAATAGTCCAAGAAATCAGAAAATCAAGCCAAAATGATCAAGAAACGAGGTGCAAACATGTGCAAATCCGATGTTATCAAACTCCCCCACACTTAACCGTTTGCTTGTCCCCAAGCAAACCAAGTCAGACACAAGGTAAGCTTACATATTTCAATCATACCAACATTGGGGACAAATCATATAGGAACAGAAACACGTGAATCATACTGGCTTTCAAACATCAACACATGAACAACTTCAATGGCAACCTGAACAACCACCACAAACGACATTTGAGTGCAGCAAAATCGAATAAAGGAGGAGTCTCCCTTCTGTTCATCAACCAACATAGACTTGACTCAACCACTTACTCAAGACAGTCAACTCATGCATAAAACTCAAGACATCAGAATCAAGACCGAGCCATCTAGGTCCTCACTGGGGTAAAGAGTGTAAAGAACAAGGAAATGAATCACTCACTCTCGACCAGTGGGGTCAGGACAATTTGATGCGAAAAATCCGCATACTTATTCTCTCAATTCCTAACATCTCTTCACCATGACGGCAGCCTCTAAGTGTTAGAGTTCACATAAATGGGTGTCATCACTAACTAATCCGGAGGTCTTAGACACAGGTTCAAACGACTGGCTAGGGTCTTGGACATGGGGAAAAGGCCTTCTAGGTGGTGGAAGTATTCATAGCACAAGGTTCCACAATTCCAAACCCAACAACCTCACAATCAATCAAACTAGTACTTTCTTTCTGCTATTCTGCATTACTCAAATTCTTCAGGGCACACGAGCGAAGGAGGTTATATAAATATCAGCATTTCCAAGCCAGACTGCTAAGAAACACTACTTAATGGGCACTATTCAGATTTTTTGTAGTGGCTCTCTTTTGCTTTCATTTTTTTTTTCTTTCATTCTTTTTTTCATTCCTTAAGAGAACCACCACCTCTGCACATATTTCAAACATATGCCCAACTTTTAAGCACTACCTCCAACTCTCACATTATATTTAGCAGAAACAGCAGAGAACATGTAAAAACCACTCTGTGGAACCTTCTAAAAGATGCAAAAGGGTGATTTTTCATTGTAGACTGAAAGAAAGGATAACACACGGCTCAAAGGGGCTGACTAGGGGGGGTATGACACACCAGGACAGTCAATTTGGTCGTGGGCTAATCCTATTCCTCCATCATCTTAGCTAATGACAACGTGAATGCTACACATCATGGTAGAGGGAACTATCGCACAAGAAAGAAACGAGCATGCTCAAATCTCACATGGCTACCTATATGCTCTATCTCTCATTCTGATTCCCTGAACTAGATGCATAAACAACTGTCAATAACAAGTGATCAATCCAAGTCACAGTTGGTAAGAAAACAGTTGAAAAACCAAACCCCTACACAATTCTACTGCACGTCTCAGTCATCATTATAGGTTGTCCTAGTCACACCTCAGTTGTCATGCATTAAGTGGAAAGCCATTCAATTCACCAATTAAAACCACAGTGCCAATATGATCAAGCAAACAGCAGTACTTGGAGCCCTCAAATCTCAAATTTGGACAGTGGACTAGGCTCCAAGCACACAAACAGCCAAACATTCACCCTCATACATAATCAAACACCCCCCCCCCCCCACACACACACACTTAAGCACGACATTGTCCTCAATGGAGGAAAGATAAGGAGGGTAGAACGAAGTTACCAGATCAAGGGTGAATGATGATGGACGGGTCAGGCGGTGCATTCCAGAAAGAGAGAGTAATCAGAACACAAACACCACACAAAATCTCACAAAGGTTGAGTTATTGACTCTAAAATCAAATAACAAAACTGACTCAACCGAGGAGAAATAGAGAAAGAAATGCAAACCGACTGGTTGGGTTGCCTCCCAACAAGCGCTTCTTTTACGTCGTGAGCCGGACGATGGCTCCTAAGTTTTGGTCCATGCTAGAATCTCCTTGAAGTTGAGGTTCTCGTCAACGAGGTGGAGTCGCAAGTCACGAGCATGTGGTATGACTGGTGATGGAAGCTCGTGCACTTGATGCAGATGAAGTCTCCATCCTCGAGACCTCTTCTTCTCTTCTCTAGTCCCATTGCCCCAAACCAGATATGACAGCATCGATTGGCCACCATCGCGTCCACCAAGAGGGACCGATGTCGATGTGGCCTTGGTCTGGCAAAGAGACATTGCAAATGGATCCTTGCTAAGCAGTTCCTCGAAGTTTGGTGGGGATATTACTTGTATTATAGGGCCGGTGCAAGCCTCTTCCACCTCAACTTCATTCTCAGCCTGGACACCACTCGCTTCTTCAACCCCCCTTCCTTCTTCAAAATGTGGTCTCTCTCCTCGGAAAAGATCAAGAACTACCTCTTCTTTGCTTTCTTCCTCATCCTCCACAACTTATTTCCTCACCCTTTCTCTCTCTTCTTCTTCCATAACTGATTGGATAGCAAGTCGCCATGCAAGGTTCTCAATAAGTTCAGCTTGCATCTCCTCGCTCGAGCCCAGCATGTCAGAGCGGAAATGGGGAAAGTTGTGACCTACCACCAGAGGATACACTTGATCATAATTATCATGGGAGCTTTCCTTGACAACTTCTGTATGCTCCTCAACATCCTCATGATTGCCTTCTTCTTCTTCCACCTATACTTGTATGGCAGCATAAAGGTTGTCTTGAGAAAACTGTGAACAGGCTTTCTCAATGACCTCTATGTGCTCCTTTATGCTCCGAAGGGTATCCTCTGTTTCACGGGGAAATGAGAAGTCAGTTTGGGTAATGGCCTGGATATGAGGATCCATCTCGGGAAAGGATCTCTCAGGTACTCGAGCAATCTGCTCCACGAGAAGCCTCAAGTGATAGTTTGGATCCGGCTGTGGAGTGTAGCATGGCTCTGCCGGATCGTCCGTGAAGGCTGTGGCAAACCCAAGATCTGATGGTCCTTCTTGTTGTGGGAGGAATTCTTCTTGATAAGGAGATTGTTCTTGAAATACCCAGGGGTCTGATTGTTCTTCGTAGTAGGCGGGTTGGTACTGAAACCCGACTCCATAGTCTTCTCCTCCTTGGTTACTCCAGGGAGTCTCGGGGTAATACCACTCGGATGGTGGTGGATACCCCCAATGGTTGGAGAAGCCATGAGGGTCCATGATTCAGATCTGCACCAACAAAAACAAAAAAACACCCAAGTGAAAAGCAAGGGCGGAGAATAAAAGAAAAACGCTAAAGTAACAAAATTCTGCCTTTCCTAATAATCTAGAAAGTCTCCGGCAACGGCGCCAAAACACAACACCAAACTGCGACCAAGTGTAATCGCAGAAAGGGACTGCAGTATAGTGGCACAAGTAATAAATATCGAATCCACGGGTCTCTAGAGTTACTATTACTCAGCTTCAGTTCATCATCTAGCAAACTAGATTAAGGATTGATTTATAAACTACTCTACTAATTACAAGTTGGGAACTCACTTAGGTATGATTCCCCCTAGCTCCTCAATTAGGTCCAAGTTGCAATTACTTTTTGTTGGTCTACTGTTGATTAAACTGCGGAAGATCCTAAATTAGCTTGGAATCTCTTAAGATGACCAAGCCCTCTTAGACATAATACCCGGCAGGCGACTAGCCTTCACCGGGATAGACTGCTAAGGTGATTCACACAGATCTCCACTACTGGAATGAATTCCAGTACAAAGCAGTGAATTGACTGACTCTCGCACAACCAATTCACTACTATCAATCAAGGAAGCTCTCTTAACTTAATCAGATTCTATCTATCATAGGTTAAAGCATAAATCAAGAGAATTTGATAAGGATTCAATTGACTCAATAAATCATGCCTCAACTGATTATAATCACACAATATAGCATCCAAAACTTCATACAAGAAAGATCCTAACATATGGAACCAGGGTTCCTCAAAACCTAAGTTAAGGGAAGTTACTCCATAGAGAAGAGAGAGACTGCAGAAATCTGATCTAGATCTTCAATCTTCATCTCCAAGCTTGATTCCCGAGCTCCAATGGTGAAGAAATCCTTCAAAATAGCTCCAAGAATGTTCCCAAGTCGCTCTCTCTCTAGGGTTCTTCCCTTGGGTGTTTGGGAACCAAAACCCAACTCCCCCTCTCCTTTGGCTCGAAATTTGGCTTAAAACCAGAGATTCCCGACTCACACGGCCGTGTGGCTTACCCAGCTGCCCGTGTGAGTGCCAAAACGCGGAGTTTCGATTAATGGGCAACCAGGCAAGCTACACGGGCAGGGGCCACACGGCCGTGTGGCTCCCCAGGATGCCCGTGTGAGTTCTCAGTAAATCCCACACGGCCAGGTCACACGGCCGTGTGGGTTTTTAGGTGTGCCCGTATGGCTTGCTCAGCCTCTGTTTAATGCTTTGTTTCTCCCTCGTCCGGACTCTGAATCAGTCGCCATTTGATCCCAGACGCTCGTAGTCTCGTCCTCTTTTTTTCAATGACAAAATTCCATGATTATTTTTCCATAATATGAGGTAGAAGTCCATTATTCCTCAGGTCATGCTCGTGTTTCTTCTCCCGAATTGCCAAATGATCTTCGATTGACTTGAAACTTGCGCCTATGCTTCAATTCACATGCTAGGACCTGAAATGTGACAAAGGAACACAACCTAGCGTAAAATAGTCCAAGAAAGCAGAAACTCAAGCCAAAATGATCAAGAAACGAGGTGCAAACATGTGCAAATCTGATGTTATCAGCAAGCATATGGATGGAATCTTTTATAATCCGTATCTATTATAAGAAGATAGAATGTAGAGAAGCTCTAGTTTATTGTTCTTTTTATGGTTACATTTTTATTTTGCTCTTTTTGAGTGGCATGTGCAGCATGCATGTTGTTCTTTTCTTTTGATGGATTATACGTATACGGATCAGGTGAGTAATCATGAGTAACATGTCCACATCAGCATGACATCAACATCCCTCTCTCTTCTGGAAAGTCTTTAATTTTTTCCTCTTTAATCTTTGACGGACGATTTCTCACTCGTTTTAAGTCGAAATTTAATTTTTTTTTTTGCAGAGTTAGATCAGATTAATTGTGCTATTCAAATTATCGATATTCACTTTGATATATTTTTGGAACAAAAAAAAATTGAACCATTTTTTACCAGTCTATACCATATGTATTGACTGGTATTGAAATTTAATTTTTTCCTCTTTAATCTTTGAAGGACGATTTCTCACTCGTTTTAAGTCGAAAATTTTTTTTTTTTTTTTTTGCATAGTTAGATCATATTAATTGTGCTATTCAAAATATCGATATTCACTTTGATATATTTTTGGAACAAAAAAAATGGAACCATTTTTTACCAGTCTATACCATATGTATTGACTGGTATTGAAATAAGAGTATACATATAGTTTGAAAAGCGTAGGATGGTGGTATGGACAAATCAAGACGGTAGGATGGTTGAATACATGATAGTAGAAGTATATTAATTGTCATTTACGACTTTTAACATTGTGTACAACAAGATACCACCCTGTACCAGGGTGGTATTTTTTGGTATTGTGTGGTATTTTTTGGTCCTGTAATTTGTTCACCCAGAAATTTGTAGATCCAATAGATCATGATGAACTCGTTTCTTCTGTGCAAACGTTTTCAAAAACGAATTAAAAACGAAGAAGATACCATATGGGGGATTTTTCCAATAATAGCACCTTTTAAAAAAATTACAAAAATAGCACCCATCCGAAAAAATTTACACTAATAGCACCAATTTTTTTGGAACGCACCCCTAAGATGCGTTTTATAAGTAAAACACACCGGAAGGGTGCGTTCTACTTATAAAACGCATCAGAGGGGTGCGTTCCACATTACGAAACGCACAGGAAGGATGCGATTTAATGCTGCTGCGGAACGGTCTTCAAAACCGTTGGATGGAGGGACGATCGGCTGGCTGAACGCTTGCCAGCGGAGCGATCTGCGCCAAGGATACCAGATCGCACGCGTAGGATGCGGTCAACCCTAGGAAAGCGCAAAACGCATCGGGAGGGTGCGATCCGCGCGAGGGGAAAATTACCCTACCGCCCCTGGAGGGTGCGGTCTGATGGGTATAAATCATGGATTACGAAACCGTACCGGACATCAAACCGGAATCGTTTTTGGCATGGTAAATCGTGGTACAACCATGGTTCAACCGTTTCCTACCGGCAAATACCGTTTTTGGAATAAAAAAATTATTTTTTTGTTAAAAAACCGTATCGACAAAATTAGGCTACCATACCGGGAAAATACCGGAATAAAACCGGATTATACCGCCTTACACTGAGCAGGACAGCAGTCTCCTGGGCATATGCATCTTTGAATGTCACATAAGCAGTACATGCGTAATCACCAGACCTATTCATTACACAATTAGAAAAGCCAAAACCCACAAAGAAAAATAACCAGGTTGGAAAGAAGAAGAACAAGAAGAGAAAGAAAACCAGAATGTTTCCTCTCTTCTGATTCTTCTTCATTTTCTTTTCTTCTTGCTTTATGTTTACCTGACGATTTCAACATGCTGAATAGAGCCGGAGAAGGCAAAAAAATCATGAACATCCTTCTCCGTGGCTTTGGGAGTAAGCCCCGTAACTTCAACCATATACCCACCTTCGTGATTCATGATCTCCACCCCAAGCAAAACTAGAAAGGTCAAGAAGAAACCACACCAAGTCAAGCTTCCCCCAAAACCAGAGATTTTTCCTTCATAGCCTTGAACCAACAATTTAATTCACAACCCAAGTTAAAGAGAAAGCAGCCATCAGCTCGAACAAGAAAACTCCCAAGCTTGTGCCAAACTAGCGATATATATTTGGAGTAAGAAAAGAAACGGACATCGACGGAAGGAGCGATCACCCACCTGGTCGTATTCTGGACAAGATTGGCAATTTGCTGGGCTTAGACGCGAGAGAGCGTGAAGAGAAGTGAGCTGGAAACGAAGAGGACTCAAAAGTTGGGGACGAGCTCAAGATCGAAACTCTACGGCGATTAGAGGAAGTATACGCTGGAACCGCGAGCAGGTAACGCGCAAGCGCCATGGATAAATTGATGCCGACGATCGGAGAGCGAGGAGAGCGAAGGAGAAGGAGAAGAGACGGAAGATTGGGGGAAATTCTAGAAAACCGACACACAGGGAACCCCAAATAAGAAACACAAAGTGCAAAACAAAAACAAGAATGGAAGTGGAGTATTTCAAAAGGAATCGTCTCCCAAATCAAAAATCGAATCAAAGCTATAATCTTGCTCAGTTATCTCTTTCTACTGGGTCCAAAACCTCGAAGGGGAAACCAGCCCTCGCCGGTGTACTAGAAGATCGAGAGGAAGAGCGGCGCGGCGCGGGGAGACGAGAGGCAGAGCGGTTGAGCGGCGCTGGGAGAGGGAGACGAGAGGCAGAGAGAATAGTCGTCGGTGGTGTTGATCTCTGGTAGAGTTCGAGAGGAAAAGCGGCGCGGCGCGGGGAGACGAGAGGCAGAGCGGTGCTGGGAGAGGGAGACGAGAGGCAGAGAGAATAACGCTAGCAAGGGCCAGCCGAAGGTAGGGTTTTTGCGTCTCTGCTTCCCTTCCTTTTTTTTTTTTGCATCAAAACGGCGTCGTTTGCGTAAAATGAAGGGACCGCCGGGTTTATTAAAACCGGCCAAAATTTCGGCCCATTGCGGTCCAACCGCAAATACCGCCCGGCAGGTTTTTAAAGGGTACACAGCCCTATTGTGCCGTTTCACCTCCGGTTTCCGGTTTTCCCGGTCCGACCGGCCGGTCCGGTACGGTATCCTGGTCCTTGGTATAAATACCCCCCTTCCCTCTCATTTCTTCACACCACAACCCATTCTTCCTTCTCTCTCTACAATTTATCTCTCTAAACCCTCCCCTCCCATAAGCCTAGGAAATAGTGGTCTGTTGGTTGCGGCTAAGTCCGATCTGCCATCAGAAAACATTTCTTAGGTTTTTTCCTCAAAACCCGCCAAGCCGAGCCGAAGCTCTGTCCGAATTGCGCCGAAAAAATGGTCGTTGGTGGCAAGGAGAAGGAGTTTATGTTGATGAATTTCAAGCGGTACGTACTCATTATTCTGGTTTAATTTTTGTTGTTGTTATAAGCTTTTTAATTAATCTATGTACTAACCTCGTTGTTATTTTCTCGTAGGTTGGGGAGGACGTGGATATATACAACCAACAGTATTATCTCGAGCAAGGACCGTTGGATCCAACCGACTTGTATGACCAACCCAACCATCGGTCAAGGGATGTTTGGAACGCTCACCCGTTACATACAATTCTTTACCATTTGTCCTTCTTTTATTTTGTTAATGTATTTAGTGGATTCATTGAAATAAATTTATGTTGAATTTTTAATCGTGTTGGTTGTTTTCAATAATTTAATCGAATACATAGCGCCACTTACTTCGACTCTTTATAAAGAGATGCACGTCTAAGGAAATGGGGTTTTAAGCGATTATCATATCCTCCCATTCCCTGGGGAAATCGGGTATTAAGAGATCTTCGGATCCCCCCTTTTTCTGTCAAAAAGACTGCATTTCTAAGAAGATGTATACCTCTTCTAAGAGTCTAACGAGTGTTGCTTTGTATTCGAAATTATTTAAAACAACCAACACGATTAAATTATTTACCTAACAACCCTTACGATTTATTTTGATGTGTACAAAAGGAATTTTATTAATTTCAAACATTTGAATATGTATGGTTCTCTTTAAATTATGATTCATTAACAATGTCATTTAATTTAGTTAATTTAGTATGTTTATTTTACGATAATATGTATGTATCTCTTTAAATTATTATTCATTTAGAATGTTGTTATGTTAATTAATTTAGGATGTTTGTTTTACGATAATATGTATGTATCTCTTTAAATTATTATTCATTTAGAATGTTGTTATGTTAATTAATTTAGGATATTTGTTTTATGATAATATGTATGTATCTCTTTAAATTATTATTAATTTAGAATGCTATTATGTTAATTATATGAAATGTCTTTGCTCCTGTTTTTAATTACGGCCATTGCATAAACCCAGTGAGTGGACCCCATATTGGGACCTCTGGCGGCTCCATGTCGCTGTCGACCATCCAATTGTCGTCTGGAATGTGATTGTAGTAGGGGACTGGTACACAGTCACGAGCCACCTCATCATCATTAGTTGAGTCTGACTCTGGTCCTGAATCATCAGCACCTTCAAGAGGGTCGGAGCTGTCTGCACTTACGTTGTTCTCTCCTTCATCGGAGGGGTCTTTTATAGGCAAAATCACTGATGAAAATCGCACCTTAGAGGTGCGGTTTTTGTCTGCCATGCAGGCCCATGCAGACCCACGTCTGCTATGTCTGCATGGCATGTCGGAAATTGATTGACCAAAACCGCACCTTCAAGGTGCGGTTTGTATGGCAAAATCGCACTGTTAGGATGCGGTTTTATTTGGGAGAAACAAAACCGCATCTTTATGATGCGGTTTTAATAGGTCAGACCTAAAACCGCACCTCGACCAAGCGGTTTCTGTAGGTCAGACCTAAAACCGCTTGGCCAAAATGCGATTTGAGTCCAGAAAATTGGAACGCACCTTACTGGTGCGGTTTATTTATAAAACGCACCCTTAGGGTGTGGTTTAAATATAAAACGCACCTATAAGGTGCGGTCTATTAAAAAGGGTGCTATTAGTGTAAATTTTTTCGAATGGGTGCTATTTTTGTAATTTTTTTTTTAAAGGTGCTATTTCTGGAAAAATCCCACCATATGGTATGCAGTTAGTACCGAGAGACAAGAATTTTTTCCTCAAAAAATATTGAAAATTGATCTCGTTTTGTAGAGCACAGCGAACTCGTTCCATCTGTGCAAAAAAAAAAATTGAAATCCGAGTTAAAACGAAGAAGATATGAGTCGATAAAAAAAAAACAAGGGAAAATAAAAATGACCTTTAATTCTCCATCCTTAGATCTATATTTTTTGAATGAATGTCCAGATTTAGTTATTGATGGGTGCATAACCATGGGTTATGCAATTGAACCGAATTATACCTTATGGGGGAACGGATCAGGTCAGTAACCTTATGGTGAGTAACCATGAGTAACCTGTCCACATCAGCATGACATCAGCATCCCTCTCTCTTGGAAAGCGTTTAATTTTCCCTCATTAATATTTGACGGACGATTTCTCACTCGTTTTAAGTCGAAAATTATTTTTTTTGCACAGCTAGATCTGATTAATTGTGCTCTTCAAAATGATATCCACTTTGATATATTTTTCGAACAAAAAAAATTGAGCCATTTTTTACCAGTCTATACCATATGGTATTGACTGGTATTGAAATAAGAGCATACCTATGGTTTGAAAAACGTACAGTGGTGGTATGAACAAACCAAGATTGTAGGATGATTGAATACATGATAGTAGAAGTATATTAGCTGTCATTTACTACTTTTAACATTGTGTACCACAAGATACCACCACGTACCAGGGTGGTATTGTATGGTATTATGTGGTATTTTTTGGTCCTGTAATTTGTTCACCCATAAATTTGTAGATCCAATAGATCATGATGAACTCGTTCCTTCTGTGCAAACGTTTTCAAAAACGAAGAAGATACCATATGGTATGCAGTTGGTAACGAGATGCAAGAACTTTTTTTCTCAAAAATATTGAAAATGGATCTCATTTTGTAGAGCACAACGAACTCGTTCCATCTTTGCAAAAAAATTAAAATCCGAGTTAAAACAAAGAAGATATGAGCCGATTAAGAAAGCTAGGAAAAATAAAAATAGTCTTTAATTCTCCATCCTTTTCTATTTTATTAATATCATCGTAAAAAAAATATTCTTGATATGCATAGAAACAAAATAGAACTAGGTGAGTGATCTAGCTAATGGAACCCAATATTCCTTACTTGCGTTGATATTTCGAGCTATCGGATGTGCTTGTTTTAATAAAGGATTGACCAAAAAAAGAGATAAGAAGATGAATGGGTTTGACCAAATTAAAGATTTTTATTCACTCAAATTTTTTTTTTTTTATCTTTCAGTATTTTAATAAATCGATCGAATGAGTGGAAATAATATGGCTCCTGCATGGGTCCGGATGTACGAATTTGGGGGTGGGATAAATTTGGGAGATATTCTGTGAAATATGGGTATCAGGTTTGGCGAAAGAAGAAACAAGACGAGATGGGAGAGAGGTACATCCCTATGGATTGGAAAAGAATGTGTTATCTTCAACTGCCACCTAAAATCTGAGTCTTTCTATGGAAATGGGGGAGTAATATTATGCCCACATGAGTAAATTTGTCGAAAAGGATTAGGGAGGCTTGCGATGAATGTCCATTTTGTGGTTTGTGTGAAACCCAGGAACACATTCTCAGGGATTGCGACTGGGTAGGGCGAATTTGGCAACCAAGTTCACTGGGAATCCTCTTTTCAGAAGGAAAGGAGAAGACTAGTGAAGAATGGTTGTGCGATCTAATAGACAAAATCTCGGATGATGAATTGTGCTCGATGGTAATGGCTCTATGGTTCTTATGGAAGGAACGCAACAATCATCTGTTCAATAACCCTAAGCTAGAGGAAAGTGAAGTAATGGCAAGTGCGGAGGCTTACCTGGAAGAGTTCCGGTCGGGTGTGCAATCTGCATGTCCAGTGAAAGCTCCCCGTCAAGAGGCGAGATGGGAACCCGAGAGGGACTTCCTGAAGGCAAATGTTGATGCGGCCAAGGTGAAAGAGGGAGGAACGGGGCTGGGACTGGTTGTGTGGGATGATGAAGGAAGCTTGATTTTGGCAGAGGTGCGGAGGACGCGTGTAGACTGGGAGCCAAAGATGGCGGAAGCTCAGGCAGTCCTTTGGGCTCTCGACCTACTGAGTGTCCACGCATGCCGGCCAACCCTAATCGAGTCGGATTGCCAGCCATTGATTCAGAAGCTGGATCGGCAAGGAGAAATTAAGACTGAGCTGGGGGTCATAGTGAAGGAGATAAAAGAGCGGTGCTCGGGAAGAGGTGACATTCGCTGGCGATTTTGGGGTATAGGAGGAAATGCCGCTGCGCATGAAATGGCAAGGGCAAATTGCAGGTGGGAAGAGACTGAAATTTGGGTGGGGAGACCCCCAATCTTCATTCTCAAAACTCTAGAGAAGGACTGTAACAGCATTTTGCCACTTTAATTAATTATATTCAGATTTCCTTTCAAAAAAAAATATATGGCTTCTGCATAGCTCTTACATAAGCAATTCGGTTGAGTCAATAGCGAGGAAACGGTTGGATCAAAACGGTATTCTTTATTTGTAAATGAATTTAAACTACTTGAATGACTCACATTCTGCGCTTGGATGATTTTTTAAAAGATTCCATTGCCTTTCTTTGTAATTAACATAGCCTTTAATTGTGTATATTATGATAGTCTAAGAACATGTCAATAAAACTAAGCATCAAGTGGTAAACTCTCGGGTCTACGAACTAGCTAGTCAATCCAAAACATAGGATATGCATCTATGGAGCAAGCTTGTTGAGATAGGTAAAATCCACACACATTCCTTAAACGTATTGCCCCCAAAATCAAGCCTGCGATTTTTATAATTGGCAAACATCAACAACAAAAAAAATCTACCAAGATCTAAATTAAAAGCCACCTTAAAATTTTCCCATAAACCAAACAAAGGAAAAATCTGGAACAGTGTAGATAAAACCCAAAAAAAAAATTCCCAACATGCATGCATCGAGTTCGCCTCTCCAATGTCAGGTCTGGCGTCCATTACCCGACCTTCTGTCTAGCGTCCAACTTCCCATCTCTCTTTCTATAAGCTCCATCCTCCTTTCAAATTCTTCAGATTGCCTTCATCTCCTCTCTTTAGCTAAAACATCCTGTATGGTTCTAGTTTACGATGGTTTAGTTATGTTCTTATCATATTGCATCGAATGTGTTTGTTTCTCTGCCTGATTGAACTCGTGTTCAGGTGTCTCATATAGACACAGTCATATTGACCCCCACATTAGTCTTATATTGCAAGTGATGCAATGCAATTAGTAATGAATTTTCCAACATTAACTTGTTCAAACTCAGTTTGGCAAAAGTGTTAAAATCATTAGAACTAATAATGGACAAGAGTTTAATATGCCATCTTTCTTTGTTTTTTATTGAATTATACATCAGAATTATTGCATTGCTTCTTCTCAACAGAATGGTAGAGTTGAGCGTAAACAACAACATATCTTAGTTGTAGCTCGTGCACATATATGTGTGTTAATAAAGGATTGTACGCATCACATTTAGGTAATATAAAAGTGTTTTATTACTACACTACATGTTAATTTAAGTTTGAAAGCTAGCATGAATCCATTTATCATACTATAAAACATTTCATAATACCTAAAAATCGATCTTTCTGTTTGCTTAAATTAGTTTGACTCTACCCGTTGCAACTTCAAGTGTAGAAAGAACATTTCAACTTTGATATATAACAAAACCAAGTTTCAAAATCGAATTGCGATCAATTTGCTAATTATTGCTTATTTGAATACATTGAGAATATGAAAATTTAATTATATTTATTAAATCATTAAATATTTATTTATTTATATTATAGAAAGAGAACACGGTTACTTTCCAGTGCTGGCTCTGCCACTGTTTGTGCATTCTTATTTCAAGCTTCTTTGCCATTACAATTTTAGAGAATTGTTGTCCTTCATGTTGTCTATTTAATCAATAGATTACCTAGTACTTTATTGAAGGAATTTTCTCCTTATGAGTTAGTTTACAACACTAAACCTGATTTTTTCACTCTCAATGTATTTTATTGTTTAGGTTTTGCTTCTACACTAGCACACAATAGGCCAAAATTAACTCCATGAGCTTATCCTTGTGTTTTTTGGGTGATCTTCTTCGTACAAAGGGCATAAACTATATAATTTAGTGCATCATAATATCTTTGCATCCCGTGATACTGTTTTTCACGAACCTGTTTTCCCCATTAAATCACTTCATTCGTCCAATTCATTTGACTTCTCATGCCCTTGCATACAAGTTCCAGAAAGCTTACTTCATTCGTCAAATTATTTGAATGCCATTAAATCTATTCCTAAAATACTTTTTAGGCTTGAGATTGTAAGATCATCTGAAGGCATTATGTTAGGTCAACGAAAATTTGCCTTAGATTTATTAACAAATTGTGGTTTGTTAAGCTGTAAACCTGTAGAATCCCGCTCAGCTCCAAGTCCTAAACCTGCAAAATGCCCCATTTACATATCAGTTGTTTAGTTTTCATTTTGTCTTGGCAAACGAATGTATTGGACCCAATTACTTCTAATTGCATGGTTGGTCAGTGAGATTACAAAAAACGTTCATGTTTGGTCACTCGAAATATTTAATTTCATTCATTCTCTCTTCCCTTCTCTCTGAATCGTAAACCTTTTGCCGATGACGACCGTCACCGGCGGAGCCTCATCAGGTGCCATCAGTGACGGGCGCACATGGGCGTCTCCATTCTCGATCAGTCCTTATTTTAAGATGGATTATTACGAGCCTGAGTTTGTTAATGGCTCACTACGAATCCCTGCGTCTGCCATTGATGAAGGTTCTA